TATAAATTATAACAAAAGTGTTATATATTACTGTAACGCTAATCAAATTGTCTATAAAACTGTATTTACAGTTTCAATAATTTTAGAACAAAGTTATTTAGGAAAAAATCGTGAAAATGGATTCAATCGCGAAGAAATCCCTCTCAATGTCTATAAGAGATAGGTACATTTGTTTAGTTTTTGTCAAATTTTGTTTTACATATATAATTTATAACAAAAGTGTTATATATTACTGTAACGCTAATCAAATTGTCTATAAAACTGTATTTACATTTTCAATAATTTTAGAACAAAGTTATTTGGTAAACAAATCGTGAAAATAGATTGAATCGCAAAGAAATCCCTCTCAATGTCTTAGAGATAGTTACATTTGTTTAGTTTTTGTCAAATTTTGTTTTACATATATAAATTATAACAAAAGTATTATATATTACTGTAACGCTAATTAAATTGTTTATAAAACTGTATTTACAGTTTCAATAATTTTAGGACAAAATTCTTCAAAAAAAAAAAAAAAATCGCAAAAATGGATTAAATCGCAAAGAAATCCCTCTCAATGTCTTAGAGATGTTTAGTTTTTGTGAAATTTTGTTTCACATATATAAATTATAACAAAAGTGTTATATATTACTGTGATACTCATAAAATTCTTCATAAAACTGTGTTTACACTTTCAATAATTTTAAGACAAAATTCTTCAAAAAGAAAATCGCGAAAATGGAATGAATCGCAAAGAAATCCCTCTCAATGTCTAGAGATAGTTACATTTGTTTAAGTTTTGTCAAATTTTGTTTTACATATATAAATTATGACAAAGTGTTTATATTACTGTAATGCTCATAAAATTGTCTATAGAACTGCATTTACATTTTCAATAATTTTAGGACAAAGTTATTTAGTAAAAAATCGCAAAAACTGCGAGTCCGCGATTGTCGTCGGCAATGTTCGCTCAGACATGTGACGTCACAGTTGAGCACTATATACAACGGAAAACATATGAGGACTAGCAGTGTAATGTCTTTGAATTACCTACCTCGCTAATTTCTTTCTCCGTATACATCGTAAACTTTTTCGAAGTTTCCATCACCATAAGATCGACATCAATCGGTTCCATTTCTCTATTCATGTCTTGCTTCAAAATTGTTAAGGCAATAAAAGTTGCATCTTCAATATTTATATCTTTATAATAAGTGTCCTATAAGGTAAAAGTCATTCTGAATCGTTTGACATCAAAAACTGTAGATAAATAAGTATAAATAGATGGCAAACACAGCTGCTTTGACACTAAATCAATATTAGTTCTTTCAGCATATCATAGATGTCGCCACCAACCGTAGCACGTAAATTCACCTTTAGGCTTAATTCTAGGATAAGATTTATTTGAATATATAAAATATAGAAAAGGTAAACTTGATTAATTTGACTAAATGAAATAAGAACAAAACTAGTGGTATGTGGCATCGTGCCTTAAGGCAAATTGCTGGAACTTCCCGTACCGTAATGAAATATTTGAGAAATTTTAAACTTTTTCAAATATATTACAAATACTGTAACTTTCATTATTTTTGCTATCTTGTTTGTTATATCTGAGCAAATCAAATGTAAATCATAAATCAATTTATCTCCAGAACATTAACAATCGTCATTTCATTTCGAATTCAATTTCAAAATAAAAATAGTTGTCTGATTTGCACAAAGTTGAAAAAGTGATCCGACATAGTCACAGTCTAAACGCATTTGCAAACAATTCTGTTCGACATTTTCACTTATACTATGCTTAGCTCGGCGGCATTTTCACATTTTTCAATAGTTTTCACAAAATTGAAAAAGTTGTCCAGTATATAAACAGTCTAAACGCACCTCGGAAAACATTTGTACCAGAGTGGCGCTTAGACTGCGCTTAGCCTGGGTAATTTTATGAATTTTAATAAATCAAAATTACAAAAATATTAATCCTAAAAGCAATTATTTTGTTGAAACAAGCTGAAAGTTCTTTGAATCATTCAAATCGGACGCTTAGTTCACTCAAAAACTGCCATTTTTTAACATTTAGCTCTGTATCTCCGTAACGGCTGGACCTGCCTTTGCCAAAAACTAATCAGCACATCTCCCTATTAATAGGTATTGAATACTTTTTAAACCATTCAAATCGGTTGATCCGTGCGCCCGAAAACGTGGACGAAATATGCGAACATACAAAACACACACACGCACATCCATTTTTTTCTGAGGTATGCCTTAAAAATGTTCAGAAACCTTCAAAACGTCGAGAAATGCAAAAATTTTCATTTTCGATTTTCGGCCCATTACTATAACTACCCTACGGGAAATTAATATACGCGTGTTATATATATTTTCAACAAAATCACATATATGTTGTGATGAAAAAATATATAATAAGAATAAACTAAACATCTGTTTTCATTCAAAAAAGATATATTTCTATATATAAAATTCGTTATTGAACGTTTAAAGTACGTTTACTATATCTAGACTAGAAAGACAATGTTTTATAAAACAAACGCTGAATTTGAAGCACACTAGCACCATCTGTGATATGCTGAAAACACTCATACAGAGTAAAACGTGTTATTTTCTATACTGGTCTTAATGAGCATACTAAAATAATGTAGAGCTGCGGAAGCCCAGTGGTTTATTTATAAAAAATAATTCAAGTCTGGATTAATCAGAAAATACTCAATGTATGTATCAGACTCGTGTTTGTTTTCAATTTTTTTGAAAATGAAAATTATTATATATTATTACGTTTCAAAGGTTTTTGAAAAGTATGGCACATCTTAGAAAAAATGAATGTATGTGTGTGTGTGCGGATACAAATTTTGCTCGACGATTTCGGGAACACCGATCAACCGATTTGAATAATTCAACTAGTGGTGCATGGCTCGTGCCTTAAGGCAAATTGCTGGAACATCCCGTACCAATTATTAAAATTTTTAAAAAAGATTCAATAATTTTTAGAACTTTGAAAAAAAATAGATTTTTGAAATTCTTTAAATTTTTGTAAAAAAAATGTCCTTTTTGACATTGAACATATTTGAAAAACTTATCCAAATTGAATAATATACAATAGTTTATCATGTTCAAGAAAAATGGCCATAAGTAAAATGCCTTTTACATCGTGTTAAAAATTCTAAATATTTTTAACTTCCCGTAGGGTAAGTTATTGTAATGGGCCGAAAATCGGAATTGAAAATTTTTACATTTCTCGACGTTTTGAAGGTTTCTGAACGTTTTGGCATACCTCAGAAAAAATGGATGTGTGTGTGTGTGTGTGTATGTATGTATGGATACAAATTTTCGCCCACGTTTTCGGGCGTACGGATCAACCGATTTGAATGGTTCAAAAAACATTCGATTCCTATTGATAGGGAAAAGAGCTGATTAGTTTTTGGCAAAGGCAGGTCCAGCCGTTTCGGAGATACGGAGCAAAGAGTGCAGAAAATGGAAATCGAATTTTTGAGAGAACGGAGTATCCGATTTGAATGATCTAAAAAACATTCAATTAGTAATGATTAGGAGAAGTGTTTATTAGTTTTTGGCAAAGGCAGGCCCAGCCATTTTGAAGATACAGAGCTAAATATGTAAAAAATGGCAATTTTTGAGAGAACTAAGCGTCCGATTTAAATGATTCAAAGAAGTTTCTGCTTGTCTTAACAAAATAATTGATTTCGGAAAAAAAAAATTGTTCCGTTTTTTTTTTTTTTAGTTTTTTAGTTTTTTGTATATCGAAAATATTTCAGATTTTATTTTTAATTCTGACTATAGTTCTAATATACTTTACAAATAATTTCAACTCTGCAATTCAGTTTATATAATTCTCATAAATATTAGACAATGTTACAATATTTATAATAATCTATTTGAAAACATTCAGTATTTCTCGAACATTTCGTTATGGTACGGGAAGTTCCAGCAATTTGCCTTAAGGCACGATGCCATAATTGCCTCAAGACAGAATTCCACTTACAGCTAGTTTTTTATATTTGTTACCTGTAAAATTTGATCAGCAACTTCACTTCCCGCGCCGATTGCCTTTGCCTCAAATTGGATAAATGTTCCTGATGGATCCAAGTGATATAATTGTGGCCCTCTCTCGTCAATACCTAATTCAGAAAAAAAACAGATTAGTAAAGAAACAATAGCTGAGAATCTTGACATCAATGGACAAGTTGACGTTATTTACACTGATTTCAGTAAAGCTTTTGACAAAATTGATCATAACATTCTTCTTACTAAATTATCTAAGATTGGTCTTAATTCTTCACTTATTCACTTTTTTAAGAGTTATCTTCATAATCGCAAGCAGTTTGTCTATCTTAATGGATTCTTGAGCAACATTGAAAATATTAGTTCAGGAGTTCCTCAGGGATCCATTCTTGGTCCACTACTATTTATTATTTTTATTAATGACATTTCTGATACTATTAACTGTCCACATTTATTATTTGCAGATGATCTGAAACTATATCTCAAATAAATTCTATTGATGACTGGTTATTATTACAGTCTCAACTTGACCTTTTCCAATCTTGGTGTATCTATAACAAATTACATCCAAATATGTCAAAGTGCAAGATTCTTAGTTTTACACATAAGCGCGTTCCAATACTTTTTGATTATAAAATTTCTAACACCAGCATTGATAGATGTAATAAAATTTCCGATTTAGGTGTTCTATTTGATTCTGGTTTGTTTTTCACAGATCATGTAACTGATATTTGTAATAGAGCACATCAATCTTTAGGTTTGATACTAAGAAATTGTAAACAATTTAAGTCTACCAATGCACTTCTTTGCATGTACTATTCTATTGTACGTTCAAAATTAGAATACGGTTCGATTATTTGGTATCCTCATCATATCAACAACTCTGATGCGATAGAGAAGGTTCAGCGAAAATTTCTGAAATACCTTTATTATAAAACATATAAAATTTACCCTGAACGTCGTTTTGACCACAACACTTTACTAAAAGAATTTGGTATTTCTTCCCTTGCCTCACGTCGATTTATCTGTACAATTATGTTCTTATTCAAACTTTGCAATAATTCTATAGACTGTCCTCTTATTCTCAATCAACTATCCTTATGTTTATCTAAGCGTTCACAATTATTTTCAATTATCCTACCCCTAAATCTAATCTCTCTTAAATTCGCCAATTTTACTTATGTCCTCTAACTTTAACTTAATTAATAATGAAATAGACATTCACAACACTTTCACCTAATCAAATAATCTCCATCTGCACAAGTTAATCCTTTTATTTTATTTCAAATATCTCATTATTTTCTATTCTTTATAAATATTATTGTTACATTCTGCATTATATGTAATTTTATGCAAGCATTTTATGTTACTAACTATATATTGTAATTTTGTATATATTTTAATTGTTATTCATTATGTAAAATAACTATATTTTTGAGTCCTCTTGGAGAAATCTGTGGGCTCTATATTTAATAATAAATAAATATAAATAAATAAATAATATATTAGTGAGGCACCTCATCGTACTTATCCTTTAAAAAAAATCACCTGCAAATAAAAGTGCGACCCCAAAGGGTCTGCAAATGGAAGGCCCTTCATCATCACCACAGCCAAATTGTATGGCCAAGTTCGAAACGGCTTGGGTACAAGATTCCACTGACATTTTTTCATTGTAAACAAACCAATGGCTTTGGCATTCGAGACGAGCTCTATCCAACAACGTCCTGAAACAGACATACCAGAAATCAGACTTATAGACATAGATAAACAAGTATAAATAGATGGCAAACACGGCACATCAATTTTAATTCTTTCAGCATATTAAAGATGTCGCCACCAAGCGTAGCACGTCAAATTACCTTTAGGTTCAATTGTAGACTAATTCTAGCAAAAAATCATTTTTTTTCTTTCAAAAAAAGATACATCTTAAATATATAAAATTCTTCTTAATGATGTATTTAAATATACTCCTCTTAAACGATTATTCGGATTTTGATAAATTTTTCCAAATTTTGTTAAAGGATTTTTTAAGATGTATGTGATTATAAAAAAAATTAACAACATTGTAGAAATAAATGGAAAAAACTGCAAAAAACGACATGTCATTGTTTGACATTGAAAGTATTTGAAAACAAATGAAAAATTTCAATTTGCTTATGAGCCTAGACAATATTAGAATATGTATAATAAATTCGTGATTATGAATAAGAAAAATGTAATGTCTACATTTTATTGCAAAAAAGCAGCTGAGATGTGTCAGAAATTAAAATAACATAAGATACAGAAAGCATGTGATTATAAAAATATAGTAACATTGTAGAAATAAGTAGAAAAAATTGCAAAAATCCACATGTCATTGTTTGACATTGAAAGTATTTGAAAACAAATAAAAAGTGTCACTTGCCAAAAATTTCAATTTACTTATGAGCCTAGACAATATTAGAATATGTATAATAAATTCGTGATTATGAATAAGAAAAATGTAATGTCTACAATATTATTGCAAAAAGCAGCTGAGATGTGTCAAAATTAAAATAATATAAGATACAGAAAGTATGTGATTATAAAAATATAGTAACATTGTAGAAATAAGTAGAAAAAATTGCAAAAATCCACATGTCATTGTTTGACATTGAAAGTATTTGAAAACAAATGAAACTGCCATCTGCCAAAAATTTCAATTTACTTATGAGCCTAGACAATATTAGAATATGTATAATAAATTCGTGATTATGAATAAGAAAAATGTAATGTCTACAATATTATTGCTAAAAAGCAGCTGAGATGTGTCACAAATTAAAATAATATAAGATACAGAAAGTATGTGATTATAAAAATATAGTAACATTGTAGAAATAAGTAGAAAAAATTGCAAAAATCCACATGTCATTGTTTGACATTGAAAATATTTGAGGCTGAAAACAAATGAAAACTGCCATCTGCCAAAAATTTCAATTTACTTATGAGCCTAGACAATATTAGAATGAACAGGATTTGACAAATTAATTCACTTATATGAAATATAAGTAATATAATATAATATATAAGTAATAATCAGGGCCGGTTCTATCTTGAATGCATGCGAAAAATACGAGCGCACGCCTTAGGGCCCATAAGTTAGGGGGCGCCAACACAAAATTGGGATATGAAATTTTCAATATAGTTTATTTTTTCAATATAATTCAAGAAATATATATTTTTTGCATCTTTTACTAATCTTTGCACAATATTTTTGAAACACGTTAAAAATTTCACTTTAAAACAACAAATGAGGAAGTAAAGATGAATACATACAATTCGGCCCTTACGATATCAATTAAGAGATGTTTAAGATGCAATTTTGGATATTTTAAATAATAAAAAAATAAATTAAAATAATCCAACATAAAGTACCCGTGTTATTTTATGGTTATATTTAATAATGAAAAGTTAAAATTTTTGAAGTAAAACTTCTTTAGGCGCGACTAGGGAGTAAATCTGTGAAAATGCAACGGAAGAACGTTACGCTCGCACTCCTATATTTTATGTTATTGATAGCGGTGCATTGTGGACACTGATCAAGGTTACAACGCAAGTGTAGTCACGCACGTGCAATGAAGGAGTGGGAGCGGGTTGTGAGAAAGGGGAAAGAGAAACAGATGAATGAACAGAGAAATTTGTTAAGTGATAAAAATTTTTGGGGAAAAAACCTATCTTTAGTTCGTTCTGTTTCGAATAATAATTCTTATCCTTCATATCTAGTTAATAACGTCATTAAAAATAGATTAGAGTTTTTACAAAACAATTTAAACAGTTCTTCCTATCTTAACAATTCTTTTTAGCCATCTATGATATATCGAAAACACGAGTAAAGCGCATTTGTTCTACGTTTCCCTTATTACCTCGAATCAGCGACATGTCCCGAGAAGACACATCCGATATGATCGTCGATTTCTATGATTTTCTGGATACTTCCTGGAACGACAAGAGGAGACCTCTCATTTTTCTCAACAGCCAGGATGACCCCTTCGTGGGTTTTAATGCCAATTGCAGTGGAGCCCAATTTAATGGCTTCGACAGCATATTCCACTTGAAACAGCCTACCTTCCGGAGAGAACGTGTTGACGCCTCTGTCGTATTCTGTTCTTCTCAGAAACATTGTAAAATATTGTTGGATATAGTAAATGTCATATGTTATGACCTGGAATGGCTTACTTGGATTGGATTTTTAGCTCGCTTTTGTCATTCATTTTGCTTGCATGTCATTCATTTTGCTTTGCTTTGCATTTTGCATTTTTAGCTCGCTTTTGTCATGGATTCTAGCAGATTCACTATTTTAGTACAAACTATTTTCAGAAAACTCACGATTTTATAAAAACTTTTTTTTCCATTTTTTTTTTAAAATCGAAATTATTTTCATTATATCTCAAAAAGAATAAAAGATACGAATAAAAGCATATAGATAAAAATCAATGGGATCTTTCTGGCATATTATTGTTTCTTATTATTTTTCTCTCACACAAAAATTGACAGGGTTATGAATGTTTAAAGTCTGCGCGGCCGCGCAAATAGGAAAAAAAGTTTTTATAAAATCGTGAGTTTTCTGAAAATAGAAGAATCCATCAAGATGTCTATAATGAAGTGAATTCTAGATGGAATGTGAATTACTTTAATTTTGGTGGAAATGGCGCTCATTAAACCAAAAAATTTAAAAGAAAAAAACTTTGTATATGCTTCTTATTTGCATGATAGCTCACTCATTTTACACGCAAAAAACTTGCAACAGCACTCATTTTGAAGCTTATGTTGAGCACTATTTATTTATTTATTTATTTATTCATTTATTTATTTATTCATAAGCAAGCCGTAATCAATAATAATAGATATAATACTATAAAACCCAATTTCACCAAAATGGATAAAATGCAAAACCTCGACACTAGATGGCTTTAAATACAACAATTAAATCTTGAACGAAATAAAAAACGACTTTGCTCTTTCAAATCTTTCTTAATATTTTTCCTAGAACATATAATAATGTAATACCGAATAAATTATGTAATACCGATTTATTAAGATTTTTATTGACATTATTTTATTCATTACATGATTGTCGTTAGAATGTATATTTTAGGAGATATTTGCAAAAAAACGAAGAAAAACGCCAAAAATATATGAATCTTTAGTGGCCAGTAACTTGAAAAGTATTAGTTTTCTTAAAAAACTATAAAAGACATTTTTTTCTTATAATTAGTTCTTCTATCGATTTCTGACATTATTTTGAAAAAATGTAATTACACAATTGAGAGGGGGTGTCACCCCCCGGGGGGTGATGGCGCAACCCGAATTGTTTTCACTTTTGAACTTGAGGGTAAAATGAACCTAATTCCAAAATTTCATTCAACTCGGAGCACAGTAAAAAAATTCAGACCTAAAACGCTCCGTTTACTGCACTATATACGTTTCAGAGGTTTCTGAACATTTTGCAATACCTAAGAAAATATGGATGCCTGTGTATTTTTTGTATAGCGAAAGAAATGCCTTTAAGCATCCCAGACTAGGTCTTTTGTCTGGGTATGTCGGACTCGATACCGCCTGGGTATAACACCGACTAAAACCTCCGCTTTGCCCTTCAAATCAAAGTGCTCAAAATAAAATGTTCAAGTTATTGGAACTTATGTCCTGGATGTTGTTAACAAGTTTGTTTAAAATTTTAGTATCAGAGTATATATAGACATTTTCATGGAAATTTAGTCAATTTTATCCAGTTTCTACTGAACTAATAAGTTAAGAAAGCGCAGAACTAAATTTTTAAGTTATTTGAATAAATGTAAAAAAAATGTCCTGAAACCATATATGACCAAAAGACAGAGCGTTGTAACTCGTTTTACTCAAAATTTTAGCACTAAAGTATATAAAATGATTTATATGGTATTATTTTAAATTTTACCTAGTTTCTGCTAAGCTAATAAAATCAGAGTGCCCGAAACGAAATTTTCAAGTTATATGAAGAATTGTGAAAAAAGGACCCCATCCATATATTTGGAGGGCATCAGTCGAGCATGTTTTACTCGAACTCGCGTTCCAACTTGTTTTATTCAAAATTTTAGTATTAAAGTATATAAAGCAGTTTATATGGTACTTTAGTAAATTTTATCTAGTTTCTACTGAGATAAAATTAGAGTGCTCTAAATAGAAATTTTAAGTTATATGACAAATTGTCGAAAAATGTCCCGAAACCACATATGGCTCAATGCTAGGCGTTGCAACTCGTTATATTCAAAATTCTAGTATTTACGTATATAAAACAGTTTATATGGTATTTTTATAAATTTCATCTAGTTTCTGCTAAGCTAATAAATCAAGATTGTCTGAAACGAAATTTTTAAGTTATATGACGAATTATAAAAAAATGTCCCCGTCCATATTTCCACCTTTGCTATTCTCTAATAGCAAAATGTAGTCGATCTGTTTTAGTTATATGCAAACTCGTGTTTCAACTAGTTTTATTTAAAGTTTTTAGTATCCAAGTATATATAATAATTGATATAGTAATTCAATCAATTTTATCTAGTTTCTGCTAAGCTAATAAAATTGAAGTGCCCTAAACAAAATTTTCAAATTATTTGAAAAAATGTAAAAAAAATGTCCTGAAAGCATATATGGCCAAAGAACTGAGCGTTACAACTAGTTTTACTTAAAATTTTTTATTAAAGTATATATGTTAATTGATATAGAAATTTAGTAAATTTTGTCTAGTTTCTGCTAAGCTATAAAAAATTAGAGTGCCCTAAACAAGATTTTCAAGTTATATGAATAAATGTAGAAAAATGTCCCCATCCATACATTCCCTGACTGCAAAATGAAGTTGAGACTATTGTGCATTTTAGTTATAATCAAACTCGTGTTTCAACTAGTTTTATTTAAAGTTTTTAGTATCCAAATATATATAGTAATTGGAATGGAAATTTAGTAAATTTTATCTAGTTTCTGATAAATTAATAAAATTAGAGTGACAAAACGAAATTTTCAAGTTATATGAATAAATGTAGAAAAATGTGCCCGGCCATATATTTGCAAATGGCGAGTTTGAACTAAGACCAGATTTAATCAAAAATTTTATTTACCTTTACGGGAAGTTAATTAACAAGTCAATAGAATACATCACATGGTTAATTTACACAAATCTCTCTTGAGTTATAAATAAAAACAAAAAAGATAAATACACAACACAAGATATAGATTTTTTGCAATGGCTGTATATTTAACACCTTTCCTGTTAGTTTAACAAACAAAACACAATTTTTACTTTGTAAATTAACTGGGATTCAGCACTATGAACACTTTTTCACATTTTTTAACGTTATAATTAATTATTCGCACTTTTTAACTGTCCATTTGAAACATTTCAATTTAACACCGAGAATGATTTGACAGCTCAGAAAATTCTTTGATAAAAAAGCATTTATCTATCGTTGGTACCACTGTATGATAAGGTTATAAAAGTTAAGTTGGTTTCTGTCAAAATAGTAAATATTGCATAATAAATTCTGTCAAAATAGTAAATATCGCACCATAAATAAAGAGTTTTTCGTGTATATTATAGTATTTTCACATTTAATACTAAAAAATCAAGTTTTATATACTTCAACATCTTTTGCTAGAGAATAATCAACAAGAAAACATTTTCTAACCTCAAAATGGATTTCAAAGGTAAAGTTGTAATAATAACAGGAGCAAGTTCCGGAATAGGCGCTGATTGTGCTCAACATTTATCTAAACTCGGTGCCGACTTAACAATAACCGGTCGAAATCTTGAAAACCTCAAAAAAGTCGCTGAGCAATGCGAAGGCACACCCTTAATCTTAAACGGAGAACTAACCGACGAAGCCTTCGTCAAGCAACTAATAGACGAAACCATAAAAAAATACGGCAAACTCAATGTCCTCATCAACAATGCCGGCATGTTGGAAACAGGCACCATCGAGACAACCAGTCTAGACCAGTACGACAGAATCATGAACGTTAACATGAGATCTGTGTACCATTTGACAATGTTAGCAGTGCCTCATTTGATCGAGACGAAGGGAAATATTGTGAATGTCTCGAGTGTAAATGGTATACGTTCTTTTCCTGGTGTTTTGGCTTATAATATATCCAAAGCGGCTTTGGATCAGTTTACAAGATGCGTTGCTTTGGAACTGGCGCTTAAGCAAGTTCGTGTTAATTCTGTTAACCCGGGGGTCATTATTACTGAGATACATAAACGGGGGGGAATGGATGATGAAACTTATAAAAAATTCTTAGGTAATAATAAATACATATACATACATACATATATATATATATATATATATATATATATATTAATATAATTTATTTTTAGAACATTGCAAAACTACTCACGCCTTAGGACGTCCAGGACAAGTAAGTGAAGTATCCAATGCCATTGCGTTTCTTGCAAGCGAGCACAGCAGCTTTATTACAGGTGCTTCGTTACCAGTTGATGGAGGCAGACATGCCATGTGCCCACGATGAAGTATTATAGAACAAATAATATAAATACTATACATTCTATAATATACTACCTCCGCACTTCAAATAGATATAAATAATTATTAGTTGCTGTTGATATCCCTAAAATGTATATGGTTTAATGTGTTAAATATATTTTTGTATTTATATAAATAAAGTAAAAGCAAATAGTATTTACCTAAAGACATTTTTCTCAATTTGACGTTATCAAATTAAATCCATGGTTTTTACATCATCATGTCCTGTAAATTAATATTCCTTCGATATTAAACTCAAGACATATGTATTAATCTCAAGTCATTACTTATCAAAGGGTCTTACATAATATATATATATATATATATATATATATATATAAACAGTCCATTATTTTTTATATAGATATAATATATTCATATATTTCTTTGGTTACAACAGATACATTCATTTTCGCTTACACATATAAACCTTAAATGAAGAAATACTGCTTTTTAATTTTCTAATTGTTAATTTGTTTAAACTTACTTTATATTTATATTTATATATAGTGTGTGTTTGTGTGTGTATAAAAACTCCATAAAAATAATAGACATCAACCCATTTTATAATAGTAGGTACAGATAAATATAAATACTTATGATATTAATAACCATTGGATTTATACAAAGCATATATATATATATATATATATATATATATATATATAAATCAGATTAAATAAACCTAAATATTACCATTAACATTTATCAAACAATTACATAACAATTTCGTTTCAATATTCCAATTTCTGATTTTCACACCTTAGCAGTACTACGAGAGCTAATATAGTTAATAATTAATAATATAAATATATTTGTACAAAATATTATTTATTAAGAACATTGGTCTGCACTCGTTGAAAAATTCATACCACCAAAGTTTTGGAAAGCACAAGGATTTTTCATATCGATAAATATGTTAGTTAATATATATTCTATACAATATTGATGAAAGAATAAGCGAATTTGCAAAATATAAAATTAATACTTTTGCTGGTGGTGAAAGTATTGTTTTTTGTTGATTTTCATAAGTATATTTCTTTTGAAGGTTTTTTAAAGAGTTTAGAAGATTTTTCAAGACTCTAGAAGATCCTCCAAGACTCAAAAGGCTTCCCAAGAATCTAGAAAGATCATTCAAGACTGACTTTAAAGACTCCAGAAGATCTTCAAAAGCTCTAGAAGATCTTCAAAAGCTCTACAAGATCCTAAAAGACTCTCCAAAGATTTCCCATTTCCCAAAATCTAGAAAGATCCTCCAAGACTCTAAAAGATCTTTCAAGACCCTAGAAAATCCTCCAAGGTTCAAGAAGATCTTTAAAGACTCCAAAAGATCTTCAAAAACTCTACAAGATCCTAAAAGACTCTCCAAAGATTTCCCAAGAATCTAGAAAGATTCTCCAAGACTCTAAAAGATCCTCCAAGACCCTAGAAGATCCTCTAAGATTCAAGAAGATCTTTAAAGACTCCAAAAGATCTTCAAAAACTCTACAAGATCCTAAAAGACTCTCAAAAAAATTCCCAAGAATCTAGAAAGATCCTCCAAGACTCTAGAAGACCTTCCAAGACCCTAGAAGATCCTCCAAGCTTCAAGAAGACTTTAAAGACCCCAGAAGGTCTTCACAATCTACAAAATCCTCAAAGACTCTCAAAAAATTTCCCAAGAATCCTCCAAGCTTCAAGAAGATTTTTGAAGACTCCAGAAGATCTTTAAAAACTCTAGAAGGTCCTCCAAGACTCTAAAAAAAATCTCCAATGCCAGTCTCAAAGACTCTAGGAATCTAAAAGATTCTCCAAGACTCTAAGACATCCTCCTAGGCTCTAAAAAAACATCTAAGACTCTAGTAGATCTTCCAAGGCTTTAAAAGACTCTCCAAGACTTTTAAAAAAGATTCAAAATTCTAAAAGAACCTCCAGAACTCTAGAAGATCATTCAAGACTCTCAGCAAATACTCCAAGACTCAAAAAGATCCTCAAAGACTCTAGAAGAACCTCTAAGACTCTCAACAGATTCCTCCAAAACTTTTAAAGAACCTCCAAGACTCTAGAAAAAATTCCAAAACTCTAGAAGATCCTACAAGACTCTAGAAGATCCTATAAGATTCCATAAAATACTCCAAGACTTTTGAAAAACCTCCAAGGCTCTAGAAAAAGCTCCAAAACTCTAAAAGATCCTACAAGATTCTAGAAGAACTTCCAAGAATCTAGAAGAAACTCCAAGACTTTAGAAAAAAAACTCCAAAACTCTAGAAGATCCTACAAGACTCTAAAAGATCCTACAAGATTCCCTAAGATACTCCAAGACTTTTGAAAAACCTCCAAGACTCTTAGAGATCCTACAAGATTCTAGAAGAACCTCCAAGAATCTAGAAGAAACTCCAAGACTTTAGAAAAAACTCCAAGACTCTAGAAGATCCTACAAGACTCTAAAAGATCCTACAAGATTCCCTAAGATACTCCAAGACTTTTGAAAAACCTCCAAGACTCTTAGAGATCCTACAAGATTCTAGAAGAACCTCCAAGACTCTAGAAAAACCTCCAAGACTTCAAAAGAAACTACAAGACTCTAGAAGATTCCCTAAGATAATCCAAGGCTTTTGAAGAATTTTCAAGATTTTAAAAAAACTTCAAAACTCTAGAATATCCTACAAGACTTTTGAGTATTTTTCAAGACTCTCATAAGATCCTTGAAAACTCCAGAAAATTTTGAAAGACCCTCAAAAATTCCACAAAGACTCTCAAAAGATCCTCCAAAACACCCGAAAGATCCTCCAAGACTCTCAGAAATTCTCAAAAATTCTAAAAACATCCTGAAATTTTACAAGACTTAAAGATTCTTGAAAAACACGAAAAATGATCAAATATAAAAAATTTCAAGACTCAAAAATTGTTCAAGGCTCTGAATCACAGAGATCCCCTGAGACTAAAAAAAATCTCCAAGATTCTGAAAGGATTCTTCTAGATTCTCAAATCATTCTTCAAGACTCTCAACGGATGCTTCAAGGCTCGGAAAGACCCTAAAAGAATATTAAACTTTCTTCAAGACTCTCTTTAAAAAAAATCTTTATAAAGATTCTTTGGGGGCCTCAAAAGATCTGCAAGGACCTTGAAATTTCTTTGCATTAAAAGATTCTTTACGAAGATCTACCAAGACCTTCAAAGATTCTGGCTAGTTGTTGATATCGAATCGATTAATGATACAGCCAACTGTATCACTGTATATTTATATATACTATAAAGGGCAGCTATACAAAATTATATAGTTTATAGTTATAGTACAGCTTGTAGCAGCATTTAACATAAAGAATAAATCAATAGAACTTTGGAAAAATTAAAGAAATAATAACACAGTTTAAATAACTTAGTTTTTCCTCAATTTTTCCAAAAGATCATATTTATTCTTTGAAATAAAATCGCTTCAACGAGTTATGATAAACATTGCTTGAAAATGATAAAAGCATTTGCAACTTTAAATATATATATATATATATATATATATAACTAATTCCTATTATAAATACTTATAATTTTATATACATTTAGCTATTTGTGCGTACTTACATTTAAGCAACTAAAATACTATATAAACAGAGCAATAACCATAAGAGCGTAATAACTTATAATAAAATATATATATAAAATAAAAATTTAATGTTGAACAAACAACCATTTTAAAAAAATTATATAACTTAAGTTTATAATTATAAACTAGAATATATTAATAATTTATTTACATTACTTGTCGATTTTAGTAAAATCAATAGGCAGTATTGAAATTGAAAAAATTTAATACGATTCGGCCTAGTTGGAGGAATAAATAACAAATATAAGAAAAAAACATTACTTGTAATGTTATTAACGTAGGCTTATGAGGCAATTCTGCAGTAACAAATGTTTATTTATTTGTTGTGCGATCAGGCATATTTTACGAATAAAACCACATGTTATAAATTAAAGAGACCAGTTCCGGATTTCCACCTTGTGTCCCGGGTTTTTCTAAAAGCATTATTTGTACTGGATTTAGATTTTTTGTCCCGGCTTTTCAAAAATTAATAGGTATATCAACAAAAATTATGAAAACAAACAAAAAAGTGCTTTTCTTTTTCAAAAGTATTATGAAGAAAATTGAATAGAATTTTTATACAAAAAGCAAAAAAACATAGATCGAAAAAAATAAGATAATATTGTTAGAAAATTATTATATATAATAGAATAATAAAGTTCTTACTAAAAGTCCGCAATTCTAATGAAAATGAATTGAAATACAAAACTATTTTTTTTGTTGTATCCTTAAATAAAATTTGTTTCTGTTTTTTCTGTCCCGGATCAGAATAGCCAAAAATTACCGTCCCGGTTTTAATTTAAAAAAAAAATACGGTCATCTTATATAAATGCGTATCACAAAGTTGCAGTTATCATAACATTATTCCTTGCTTTGTTTATATGTAATATACGCCTGATCGCACGGCAAATAGGTAGACATTTTCTTAAGAAAAAATAATAATATAGCGTTGCTATAATAACGCAGAATTGGTGCCTTATATTATCTGGGCCTTGCACAAAAAAATTTAAATAAATAAATAAATTTCTTTTAACAGATTCTTCTGAAATGTAAAAATTCATCTGTTAAAACTGTGACTGTCTAAAATCTTGTCGATATCAGAAAAAAGTTAAATCTTCAGTAACTTATGTAAGGCCAGTAACATAAATCTATGTAAATATATATATTTATATATATATATATATATATATATATATAATATATAATATATAATATAATATATAATAGACAAATTTTTGATTTTTCAATAATTTGATTTATGTTTCAATCCGAACAATTAATAAAAAAAAAATCCGTTTTTTGCAGATGCTTATTTACGATGTTTCGGAACCGTATATATTCCATCATCAGGTTTTACTGTCAAAAACAAATTATTTGAAACAATATTAATAAATAAATCATTTGATGATTACAGACGATAAAGGACACATCGATAGATAACAGAATGTTTAAAAATGTATAAGTGAATAATTAACTATGTGCCTTGTGTAAAATTTAAAAAATGGTGAAACAAATATTATTTATTCGCATCACTAAATTTTTTTTAACATAAAACCCTTATAATGAAACGTATCCAGTTCCGAAACGTCGCAATTAAACATCTACTAAAAATTAATTGTTTTGTATTCTTTAGATTAATCTTAGGATTAAAGACATAAATCAATTTACTGAAAAATCCAAGATTCATCTATTGTGTATATATATAAATATATATATATATATTAGGGTGATCCTTAAAATGGTCATTTTCGAATTTTCTTGCTCCCAAGGACTCAAATGGTTCCAAATTGATAAAAAGAAATTCTCTTGAGGTTTTAGCTCTTAATATTAACATTTAGATAGTCCGCAATTCAATTAATAGCTTTTAAGTTTATTTTTAATGTTTTTTCAGATGTAATTTAGCAAACAAATGAATGAATAAAATTCATTCATTTGTCGCTAAGTTATACCTAAAACATTTTTTTTTAATTTTCAAAATTTTTTTCATGCTCTTTCCATACGAAGTTTGATTGAATTGCGCTGTATCTAAACGATAATATTAAGAGCTAAAACTTTCAGAGAATTGTTTTTTATCAATTTGGAACCATTTGAGCCCCTGGGAGCAAGGAAATTCGAAAATGACCATTTTAAGGACCACCCTAATATATATATATATATATATATATATACACCTAAGTCTGTTTTTACACGGTTTTGATATAACACGGTTTGAAAATTGAATATTTTTAATTTTTTTACACGATTTTATTCCATTTAGCACGATTTGAAATTTTATGTACTTAAATTTTTTTTGTCAAATTTAATTTTTGCGAAGTAATGTTCATATCACAAAAAAGTATTTATGAAAGAAAAAAGTCTGAAACCATCGATAGTATCGAACACTAGCTTAAAGATTTAAGTGAATCCCCCTTTAGCGCGTACAAACAATTTTTACTGGTCAAAGCAAATGTGAATAGCACTAATTTAGGGAAACCTTAAAACCTATTTTTTTCGTTCACAACATAGTTTTTTAGTTCCTGAACTTGCCATACATTTAATTTATATTACTTTTAAGATTAGAGTGCATATCTTTTTTATCATTACTTACTATACTTGTGAAAATAAGCATTATTTGATTTAATAAAATAAACATAAATTCTTGTTTTTAAAAATTCTTTTTTCACTAATTTTAATAGGTTTTAGAGATTAGGAACGAATCACCAATTTTTGTATAAGATCAATGTCTTTTTTTACACGTTTTTTTTTACACGGCTTCTTCTCGAACCAATCTACCCTGTAAAAACAGACTTAGGTGTATATATATACACACATATATCCATATATATCTGTGTCATTTATCCCTACGTATCTTTTCCCCTTAGGCTTCGTCGTCGGCGTCGTTATTCGAGTTGGGGCTGTTCAAGTTGACCGCAGTAGGGCCCGAGGTGTGCCTGAGGCTGCTGAGGGCGCTCAGCAGGCGGCTGTTGGCGGCGTCGAGAGCCGCTATCTGCTGCCCCTGGGCGTCTATAACGCGCTGCTTGTGCGACAGGGCGAGGGACATCTTCATTTGTTCGCGTTTGCGCTCCTCTTCCACGCTTAACATCCTAGAAGGTAAATGGTAAATGATAAATGGTAAATGATCTAGCCGTAAGAATAGAGTTCATTAGGCTATTTAGGTAATATGTTTATGTCAAAAATAAAATTTTCGCTTTCAATATAAAACTAGTGGTTTATGGCATCATGCCTTAAGGCAAATTGCGGGAACTTTCCGCACCAAAAAGTAACATTTTTTAACTTCCCGTAGGGCAAGTTATAGTAATCGCAAAAAAATCGAAAATGAAAATTTTTATATATCTTTACGTTTCAAAGGTTTCTGAACATTTTGGCATACCTTAGAAAAAATGGATGTATGTGTGTGTGTGTGTGTGTGTGTGTGTGTGTGTGTGTATGTATGTACGTGTGTGTATGTATGTGCGGATACAAATTTTCGTCGACGATTTCGGGAACACGGATCAACCGATTTGAATAATTCAAAAAACATTCGATTCGTATTGATAAGGAGACGTGCTGATTAGTTTTTGGCAAAGGCAGGTCTAGCCGTTCCGAAGATCCGGGGCAAAAAGTGCCGAAAACGGTAACTCAGTTTTTAAGAGAACGAATCGTCCGATTTTAATAATTCAAAAAATATTTTACTTATATTGCCAAGGTGAAGAACTAGTCAAATTTTCATAAAGGCAGGTCTAGCGGTTTCGGAGATATAATGAAAAAAGTAAAAAAAAATGCCATTTGGCGGTCAAAAATGATCATTAGACATATGCACATCAAATTATCAGATATTTTTTAGAGATTTTAATAATAAGTATAAATTTGGTTTACATTCCTATGGGTTCCGTACCAACCGTTTACGCATTAGACGGCGACTTTGATATTTCGTCTTTATGCAGTTAAAGCACTACGATTGCTTTGAAAAAAAGTTTAGATCTTCCAAAATATGTCAAAATAAAGAAAAGATTATTTTTTCAAAAAAAAAAATTAAAAAAAAGTCCAATTTATAGTTTTTTTCCAAAAATGTTAATTGTCTTTAAAAAAAAAAAAATTGGTACGGGAAGTTCCAGCAATTTGCCTTAAGGCACGATGCCTTAATTGCCTTAAGACAGAATTCCACTTACAGCTAGTTTTAATTTTTTTTGAAAATGTTTGTTTTTTTTAAAAAAAGTCAGTTAAATAATAAATACACGTGATATCTTACTATACCCCTCCAAGCTAAGCACAGTATAAGTGAAAATGCCGAAGAGAATTATTTGCAAATGCGTTTAGACTGTGACTATGTGGGAGCAGTTTTTCACTTTTGGTGTAATATTTTTTTTTGAAATTGAATTCGAAATGAAATGACGATTGTTAATGTTCTGGAGATATTTTGATTTATGATTTATGATTTACATTTGATTTGCTGAGATATATAACAAGATAGCAAAAATAATGAAATTTACAGTATTTGTAATAATATATTTGAAAACGTTTAAAATTTCACGAATATTTCATTACGGTACTAGAAGTTCCAGCAATTTGCCTTAAGGCACGATGCCATACACCACTAGTATTATTTTTCTATCCTACCTGGCAATGATACTCTTCATTTTATTATCATCGGACACAGTATACTGCTGATGTCCATTCTTCCCGCTCCTCTGCAACTTGGCTTGCAACCTGTCGATAGTCCTCTGCAACCTTGCGATCTCCATTTCGCACTGCTCCACAGTCCTGTTTGATCTCTGCGAACACTCAGACCTCGACTGAATCTCCGACTCGCTGGAACTATCAGTCTCCACCAACCTTCTCGATAACTTCTTCTGCAAACTGCCTGAACAATGGACAACATCTGCCGACTGATAGGCACTGTCTGGATTCATATTCTCACTATCGTAGTTCAGATGATGGTTTGTTACGTGCTGGTCATCGTAGGTGGATTTGTTTTTGTAACCGTGAGAGCACTCGTAGTTTTGTTCGTCAAAGTTTAGGTTGAGTTTGTTTAAATAGCCTCGGTTGCAGTCGTTGTTGTACCCAGTACCATTTTTGTATCCTTGTTGGTCAAAATACTGCAAGCGTTTGTTCGAAGAGTTTTGTAAACTTGTGTTGGAATACGAGTGGCTTAAGTTGGAATTTGGGTAGTACAAACTGTTGTTCGAATGCGAATGTTGCAAAGGGATTCCAATTGTTTGGTGCACCGGACTGGATTTATTATCATAATTCCTGTGGTACTCGTAGTTGTTACCATACCCATAATCCGGTGAATTAATTTTATCCAAAGATCTCTTAAACTTATTAGCTAAATAATTTTGTTCGTTCTCAACACTTGCTAAGTCTTTAACATTCCTATCGATCTCGTATCTGTGTTCATCGATTCTTTTCTCATCAGACATACGATTGTTCCGGTAAGACAATCCAGGATTCGTCCTGGGTATCCTTAAATTCCTCCTCATCACCGGACTGGGTGTGTCTAAAGGTGAACTAATATAATTAGCAGGTCTTTGTAAATTCTCTTCGGAACTTGAAGGCGTTAAGGAATTTTCAATCAACTTTTTGGAGTTCTTGTTTTGAAAATCCATGTGGTACACAGGATTTTCAAACGCTAAAGCCATATTGTTATTACCACCATTGTCCTGTCCAGATTTGTTATCAGTTTTCATTTTAATCTTAATGGGATTAATCAAATCTGTCGGGCTTGAACTTTGACTTTGGGTAGTAATACTTTGGTAACCAGAACTGCACACATTCGACAACTGTCCGATGGATATGTTGGATCCTTATTCTGCACATGATTTTGTGCAACGTTATTAGCATTATTAACCAAATCTACATTTTGTTCATCAGCATACGCAAACAAGTCTGATTAACTCGTCCAAAATTGGCAGTGGTTTTAACATTACAATTAATCCTGTCGTTATCAAAAACATTCAACCGGTCACTCA